CACACACACAGGCAGATGTGGCCCAAAGCTCCTTCTGCTTCTGCTCAGCAGTTCTGCTAGAAATTTACAAGAAGGAAAACTTGCAAGAATCTAGTTGCAGTCTTTCTCGTAGTGGTCCTGTAAGATTCCTAAGCCTTGCACAATGTTAGTCTATGATGTGAAACATGACAAATGTGACCCATTTAGATGTAAACAAATAAATTAATGGACTTTAGTTATTTGTTAAATAGTTTTCAACAAAGCTCTTTTCTGCAGGCTCAGTGGAAGCGGGCCAGCGGCGTTTCCTTTCTTCAGCTCTCCGGTTCCTTCGCAGCGCCCTGGACTCGAGCTCCAGTCCAGGTCCAGCGAAGGTGAGCCTGAGCTGGGAGGACAGTTGGGACGACGCTGCAGAGCTCTGGAGGTTGAGTTTGCAGGCCCTGGGAGGCTGCGCCCGTGCCCAACCCTCAATCACCACCCTGATCAGAGAGGAGGGTTGGCTCAGACACATGCTCGCCATGCTTCATCAGTGTAGCGCTCTGCCTGACCAGCTGACCCAGGATGCGCTGGAGGAGGCTCTGTGTGCCCTGGCAGAGCGGTGCCCGGTGTGCAAACAAGAAATTGGAGACATGATGACGAGATCCAGCGAAGGAGCTTTGAGCAGTATGAAGAAGCTGAAGAAGTCGATGGGAGTGAAGTAAAACCAGCTGCTCTGGAGAAATGGTGTACTCTCTAATCGAGTACTTTTAACTTTTAGTGAAACCGCACAATGAAACCAATAAACCAGGGAAACTGCTGAAACCAAACTCGTATTATAAATGTCTTTGCTCTGATGTGGGTTTTTTTTTTTTCCTTAAATTAATAAATTGGGGATGTCTGCCAAAATGTCTAGAGTTTTAATAGGAATGAGGAGGATTATGCATTTCTGTGCACATTTCTCTGAATGTGCCCCGTTTGTCTGACTGACCTACTTTATTGTTTTCATCATAAATCATTGAAAACATCTGAGAGCTCTGCAGGTAAATTCTTACAGAGACAGCTTATACTTGTCACAAGGAGCTGAAAATGCACACAAGCTGTTTCTTAAATGCAACTGTTGAAAATGTAAATGCCTTTAATAAAGAATTATTTTTGTTAGAGAACGCTGTGTTTTGGGTTTGCTGTTTTTGCTAGTAAGAGACAAAGCTGTTTTTTACAGTTTTGTCTCTTACGAGCTGCTGCTTTGAGGACAATTTTGTGCTGTAATTGCATCATAAATGAAATATGATGCAGGTCTGCATTATGAGGTTGGATTTGAGCATTTAAATTTCCTGTTCAAAGGTCATATTACTGCATTGGTTATTACATGAACTTTACTTAAAAATAATGCTTAATTTATATCGTTTGATTAGAATCTTGTAATTTAAGTATATCAAACGTTCAGTGTAATGCGAACTGGGCTGGTGTACATTTATACCAAGCATATTTTCCTTAACTATTTCACTGAACCGACATTCAGTCGGTTTCCACTAGATGGCGCAATGACACTTAAGGTGTGGTGAAGTTCTTGTTTACTAGCAAACTTCTTCCGTTATCCACATTTCCAGAGTTTTAGTTATTTCAGTTATTAGGCTGGTAATTAAATTATAGTGAAGCTATTAATAAAACAAAAATATGTGAAAAAACATCAGCACAGAGAACAAAGTGTTTAGTTATGACATCGTTTTACTGGATGCTGAAAGTCTTAAATCTGGTGCATATCAGTCATCTAGCAACAAGAATTAAATGCTGTAGTGGATGTTAGACTTACTCAGAAATGCGGGGAAAATTTATTTTTTTTGCGTTCTGGAATATTTCTAAATATTAAAGTGAATTTTTGATTAGGTTAATAATTTGTCAGGCCATCATCACCAATCAGCTATGTTTAACCCCTCCACCGCTGATCCTATGGTCCTCACACCAACCGTGACAAAAGTTTTCAGTTGCCCCCCTCCTCGACTCGTGTCACCTACCGCCCTCTTTTGTGTTTTTTCTAGCACCCCCCCTTCCTCACACCCGGCTCTATTCTCTGACTCATCCATACAAACTACTGCATCGTCTCTCAAAGTAACTCACTCCCCTCTGCACCTTCAGCCTGTCT